AAACAAGAGTAGAATGAGGAAATATAAATAAAATGATCAAATATAGAAACTTGTTTTTAACTATAGCCGTGGATTTTAAATGGAAAGTGTGAAGACGCGTAAGTGACCCAACAATGTGCCACTTGTGCGTAAAAGCAGCATGCAGAGATGTTTACAGGAATTAACATTTTTATATTAAAATTAAAATATATTAAAAAACCGCGAGAGAAAAACAGAATCTTTGTGTGTCAGATAAATCGGGGCACTATTTTTTTAAATAAACTCAGTGTTTTTGAAAATGTTCTGAAGTTAAAGGAAGAAAAATGCCTGCAGCACTTCAGTGTAAGTTTTGACAAGTATTTTATGTAGGAACACCAAGTCAAGAAAAGTGAGGAAGGGGTAGAAAAAGGATGAGACGGGAGGGGAGGGGGGTGCGCGTGTGTGTGTGAGGGGGAGGAAGGGTCGGAGCGAGGGACAGAGCAATAATTATGTACAAGCATATTTCTATACACGTATATTACAGACCGGGAGAATGATCGCATCATTTGAGATATACATAATTCAATATAAAATTTTGAAAATAAAAATAAAAATCTGATACAGTCATAAACGTTTTTTTTTTTTTTTTTTTTTTTTTTTTGGTGACCATGTACCCCACACAGGCAGTGACAGAAGTGGATTTAAAGAAAGGTGCTTACGACTTTAAATGATTGTCTGATGAGCACAAAGTGAAAAACAGGGTGATGCATCTTGTTTGCACGGCGGCTTCCTCACCATCATCATCATCATCATCTAACCGGATATGGAGAAGGAAAAAATAAAAATAAAAGTGCGACGAAGACACCAAGACGATCTGTTTTTTTTATTCCCTCTGGTTCCTGATGTGGAGAAAAAAAATGTTGCATTCAGGTTTCTTTTCTCCCTAATTACAAAATAAAAAAATTAAAAAAATGAAATCATGCAAGGAGTTGTTGGTGTGGGGGTGTATGAAGAGGAAGGGTAGGCGTGGGTCCTTTGAAAGCGCTTTGAATAAAAAAATGACGTGCTTTTATCTCTTTTTTTATTTTAATATTTATATGAATTGGTCCTTTTTTCATCCGCCATATTTAATGTCTTTTTTTTTCTTCATCAGGTCCATTTTCCCTGTAAATATTTCTCTTTTTTTGTGTGTTATTTCTTTCTTCTGATTTTTCTCTTCTTCCATCATACGTCGCACTCCGAGTCGCTGGATGTGACGGACAGGATGGACGTCCCAGTGTCCACCCTCTCTGTCATGCTGGAAACGCTGGTGGTGGGACTGGCCGCGGTGGACGGCGACTCGGCCGAGCTGTGAGGGGTGAGCCCGGCCTCTGAGAGGGACCTCATCCCGCTCGGTCCTATTGCTTGGTGCTGGAGCCTGCGTGCACAAGAAGGAGGAACAAAAATAAATCAAAAGAGGCGAGAAAGGGGAGAATAAAGACAAAAGGTGGGGTGTAGAAATGGCATTTAGAGCTGAGAATGTCCCCCTCACCCTTTCCCCCCCTCCTCCTCCTGCTGCAAAATAGGGGTTCAAACTCTTTCTTTCCCTCTGCCGGCCCCAGCCATGCTTTTATCAAGCTTCAAGGGACAAAACAGCTCCATTTAAACTAACAAATGTCCTTTCCTTATGTCTGAGCAAGTCAACAATCCGGGGATGAAATGGCTCCAAAACGCTCGTTTATATTTTTGTTGTTTTTAATCTGCAGAAAGTGGATTTAATTTTTTTTATGTTTTCCTCAAGTGGTCGAGCAGGTTTGCAATTGGTCCTAAAAATAAAAACAAATCTGTGGCTTTGCAGCAAACCATGGGCGTGCATGGAGGTCCATGTTGCTCCAATCATCCTAAATGTTTATCTCCAACCCACTCAGGATGATAACTTCATCACGGCGGGATAATGTCAGAGCGGAAATAGATCTCTTCATTTATCTAAAAGATTAGAACAATGGTCATATGGCTTAGTGCTCTCCGAGGTATTTTCTAATTAATTATAGCATTTCCATGAAATGATATCACACATATAATGTTATGAATTACACTCGGCGTCTTGTACGCATGCTCCGTGCAGCGGAGTAATATCAGTAATGTTTCTGTGATCCTTTTGGATGAGCTGCACGTGCATCAAAGACACTTTATTTATTTATTTATTCTCTTTTTATTAAAGGTAGTAAAACGCCTGCAGCTTTATGCTATTTAATATAAAATAAAATAGATTGAGAAGAAAGAGCGATGAACCGCTCCACGTGTTGCCAAATAAGCCAAACAAGTGTTTAAAACGATTTTTCATCAATTTAATATAGTTCCTTGTTTTTGTTTTCACGCTAAAATGATCAAACTCGTATTACGTTTATTTTTATATATGTGGATAAAAATGGTTCAAGTTTAGCCGTTATCAATTTCATGAACTTTGTTACTTTTATTTCTTTAAAAGAGAAACAATTTTTTTTGTTTTTGTTTTATTTGCGTAAGAAGAACACTGTAGTGCTTAAATTTTGCTTTTAGTTTATACTTTATTGTTGGATTTTTATTTTTATTTTTCATGCATTTTAATGCAAAACGTGAATTTTAGCATGATTATAAAAAATACTTCTATTTTCTTTAAATATATCTAATTGTAATCCAGTGCAATGTGGTTTAGCATTACCCTATATTATATATAATTTATTTTAATAATTAGGAAACGTGTGTTTTGATAACTGCTAGGAAAATAATCTATTTAATTAATTTATTTTCTATCACAACAAACACGTCCTCCCTCCTGTCGGTTCCCTCCAGAAGCAAAACAACTTTAAAAATTCGCGTCTTCTCGTTTCATAATAGAGATTTCCCAAAGGTTTAAAAACATTTTAGTGTTTTCTTTTCTTTTTTTTTTAAGTTGCACAGAAGGATTGCCAACCTGTTTTTGGCCGCGGCAGCTCTGTCTCTTTGCCTCCGGTTTTTAAACCAGTTCCCGACCTGTGTAGGAGTGAGTCCAGTGGCTTGAGCCAGTTCCCTTTTCTTGCTGGGGTTCGGGTAGGGGTCCTGAAGGTACCACTCCCTCAGCAGGCTCCGTGTCCGCTCTTTGAAACAGTGCGTCTTCTGCTCCCCGTCCCAGATGGTCCGAGGCAGCGGAAACTTCTTCCGCACGCGGTACTTGTCGACAGGTCCGAGGGGGCGGCCGCGCAGCTTCTCGGCCTCCTGGTAGTGCGCCTCCAGCCACATGGCCTGCAGTTTGCCGTGCGAGTCCTTCGTGAACTTGTGGTTCTCCAAGATGTGGTAGAGGTCTCTGAAATTCCCCGTGTGGAAAGCCACGACGGCCCGAGCGCGCAGGATGGACTCGTGCTTGTTGATCGCCTCGCACGCTCCGGGAGCCACCGGCAGGGACCAGAGGAAGCGGCCCAGCCGTTCGATGTCCCCGGTCTCCTCCAGCGTCTCGCAGACGCTCGCCACCTGCTCCGGGGAAAAGTTGAGGGTCGGTAGCTGAAACATGGACAAGTCTTCTGGAGACCTGGCGGTGGGAGCGCTGTTCGCCAGCAGCAGTGGGCGATCAGCGAAGTTCGGCAGGAAGAAATGGGAGGGATAAAGCTCTAAAGGGGATCTGAACACCATGGAAATGACCTGAGAGAGAAAGAAAATTATCGAGAAAAGGAAAAACCGAAAAAATCCGGCCAGTAGAAAAGGTTGAATGATTCAATGACTATCGCCTAATGACACCAGCCTCATAATATCTCCCCCCTAAATCCGCCGTTGAGTGTAGCATTGAAACATTTTGTTTCCCTTTTCTATTGGTCTTCTTGGTGTCGTTGTAGCGTTGTCATGGCAGCCCTGCCAATCACTGTCAAGCGTGCCAATCATTAGCCAGTACGTAGCGCGAGGCTTTCACCACTTGTGCAGCGCGCGCGGGGGGTTATCAGAGTCTCGGATCTCCACAGCAACCCTCCCACTGCACCGTGCGCGTCAGGCACAAGCCAATGCTCGCCCTATCTGCTGAATGGAAAGAACAATTAGAGGGTGGAATATTATTGCGATCTTAACGAGGCTCGTTAAAGCTAAAGGAGATATGTAGACTGGAGATGCTTTGCAGGGACGTGGGGGGAGGGAGGGGGAGGGAGGGAGGGAGGGAGGGAGGCTTTAAATGGGTGACAAATGGACAACCAATGACCGCATCCCGGGAATACACGTTTTGAATAGGAGCGAGTCAATTTGCACATTATTTTTCGGGGTTTTCCTCCAGCTCGTTTTTTTTTTAAAGACAACTTTTTGTGCAATTCATAGAAAGATGTTAGAATTTTCTTCTTCTTTTTTTTTTAATAAGCGCGAACCTTTAAAGATTTGTTGCGGATTTCTGTACAAGTTTGTTATTTTTATTTAAAAAAAAAAAAAAAAAGTGAAATGCTCCGATCGTGACTTTACTCGAGCGCGCTGGGGTGCGTGCACACTTCATGATGGGCAGCTGCAGAGTGGTGCCGCTCCCCCTCCCGCTGTCCACCCGCCCTGCCTCTGGGACGCACCGCGCGGCTCTGGCCCCCTGCCCGCTGCTTTCTTTCTCACAAAGTTCCGAATGAATATCGACGCGCACAGAAAAATCCTTATACTATTGACACTGCCCTATAATAATCTATCACTTTATTTTAAATTTTTGAATTAATCCAACTAATTAAGTCAATTTGCTTAGAATTGCAATTAAAGGCCAACATGAAAGCTTCTTGGAGACATAAAAGCAGTTTGATCTGGTGGTAAGGACACGATCAGTGTCCACATCCAGTCATGGGGTTCGGCTTAGCGGTAGCCAGGCGGTGTGATTTTCATGTTTTTGGCTAAAAGGGCTTCATATTTGGACTGGGCTTACAGGGTGTTAAAATAGTGCGAGTTCACTCTGCAGCAAACAGAGCCGCATTGTTAAAGTGCCATGTACGAGGTGCAGCACCTAGACTCTGCCTAATCCACCCTCAGTAAAGCTGACATAATGATCCTAAGCCGCCTTTCTGCAAATTCATTCAGGGATCCAAAACTTTTTTTTTTTTTTTTTGATCTCCTCTCTTTGCCATTTGCATCGTTGTCCGGGTCTGGACCGACCTGGACCGCCGACTTGAAGCTCGGAAGGACAGTGAGTACAGCAGCTTGCATGTTTAATCCTCGCTCACACGCTTTAACAGCTGTGGACGCCAGCGCGCAATTATCCGAACATTTGCGCGCTTTTACGCACGGGCGTTTTGGGTAAACGAGTGCTTAAATGCGCGCGCACGCCTGTTGTGCAAGTGTCTGTGTCTGGAGGTGTGCGTGTATGATGCAGAGCAGGGGTTGTGATGATCTTGCAGCAGGGTCAGACGTTTGGTTTTTGGGGTTGGGGACGCGCGCTCGAGCTCCGCGAAACTTCTGAGCGACTAATTCCAAGTGGCACTTGAATTGGAAAGCTCTGTGGACTGGAAGGAAAGGCTCGCGTTTTCACGCTGCTGTTACAAAACAAAACTCATTCTCTTTCTCTCACGCACACATGCACGCACGACACCAGCACTTGGAATATGCAAAGCCTCGGTACCTGACTGGGTGCGCCAATTGAAGCAGGTGTCCATTCTGTTTTGGAGGAGCCTTGTTGCCCTCGCAGGCAGCTCGGAGAAGAGACCAGAGGTGAAATGTAAAACCTGAATGGGGATTGGGAGAGGGAAGCTAATGGTAATTCACATTCTTCTATGCGGCTTTTGTTTACGCTAAGCATGTAATTAACACCCCCCAAACAAGTTTATTCACCTGCCGTAATTGTGTGTTTATCCGAGAGCCTGCTGAATGTTCCAAGCAGCGGGGGACGGGGGCTCTGAAAGCAACTTCTTCTCCGTTTACTTACAGCCTCAAACCTCTGACACTGCAACACAAACAATTTGCGCACACTCTGCGTCCTTCAAGGAGGCGCAAACCGCTGCACCCACATGTGCGACCTTATGTCAGATTAATATTTAGTTAAAGAAAAAAACACCCAAAAAAACGTTGTTTTACATTGTTTTAACAAGTTTTATTTAATTTACTTTTTTAATTAAACAAACTGTTTTTATTTTTGATCAGTCTGTTCCAAGAAACAAAGATGGAGTTGCGTCAGGCGCAGGAGTGAAAGGGAGAGAGAAAGAGAAAGAGAGAGATGGAGACCGGATGAGAGGAGGAAAAATGATAGAAAGAAATCCAGCACGAAAAAAAGGGACCTTGTTTTATTTTTCTGCTCCCTCGTTGACCCATGTTTGACAGAGGCTGGACAAAAAAAGAAAAAAAAGAAAAAAGAAAAACAGTAGCACACCCTCCCTGCAAACACAGGAGGCTCATGTGTTGCTGCTCCATACTGGATTCATCTCAACTCCACACAGGACGGAACTCTGGACCAATAACTGGTATGTACAAAAATAAATCATTCTAGAGTTTATCATTGTATTTATTTATTTTTATGACTGTCCCGTCAAGAGATTGTTACCATGAGGTTTTAATGCTTGCTTATATATTTTTCTGTTTTTATATTTGCATGACTAAAATAAAGGTGTTACCGTTTTGGTTTTTCTTCTTGTCCTTCCTGCAGAAGTTTGTGGAGCTGAAGGGACACTTCACTTTGTCCCAGATCATGACGCAGCTGCGATTCTTGTAAGTTTTTTTCCTCTTTGAGCCCGCTCGTTTCCGGCCACGAAGTTTTCTTCTTTGAATTTTTACCTTTTGGATAATTATACAAAAATAAGTTTTTTTGTTTTTTTTTAAATTGACAATTATATTTTGCGCGCTTGAACTGCGCGCAGATGTGTGTCTCTACAGAACAGTTGTGTGATGCTGCTGACCACGCAGTCAGTGTAAGGACCCACACACACACAAACAGAGTCTACACTGTAAAAAGTATCAGTCCAAAATAAATCACTGTGATAAAACCAAAACGACTTGGCTAATTTGCACTTATACTTTTTTTATTATTATTTTGAAAACGTTTCTCACTCAATTCAAATGCTTTTATTTTAATTAATATTATTTAAAAACTGTGCATTTTAAGATATTTGCAATGTTCGTTTTAAGTACATTTGTGCACCATTTTAGTAGCATGCACAAAATCTTGACTTAAAGTGAAACATCCTTTTAGAAAGTTGCCAAAAAGCGCAGTTTTTACGCAGCTCTCGTCACAATGTGGCGCCACCTTTACCAACATATACACAAGTTTTTTTTTTTGTTTTTTTTAACATCTCTCTGCAACTCTCCCTCCTTCTTTTCTTTTATTGTTTTTTTATTGTGTGGTCTCATTAGGGGGACTTCCTGGCAGGGCTGGGAGCTTGTATCCGAGCTGTCCAATCAGTGTATTTACACGGGTTGTTAGCGACGGTTAATGAGGGCTCCTCCCCGGGCCGGGAGAGAAAGGCGCCTCCACATTAAGATTTACCTTGTGTCAACTCGTTACTTCTAATGAACCTCCATGGAAAAAAAAAAAAAAAAAAGAAGAAGAAGAAGCAAGCCTTCAAGTAGTCAATGGAGCCGTGCGCCCGGATCTGGTGTGTGCGGGACTGGAAGAGTGGAGCCCCCCCCCCCC